ACCTTTTAGTTAAAACCGATTTAATAAACGTTAACCATTTAGAAGGAAGGAGAAATCTTTCTTTTGACTCAGGGGGAATTAAGGGACGAAAGTTCTGGGTTAAAGCCATTAAAAAGATAAATAATAATATAAAGAATACAAGTATAAATATTAAACAGTATATCGTTTATATACATAAATACTGTAAGTAATATTAATATGAATGTTAGCATTATATATGTTATTCGTTTGACCTGTATATCTATAGATAATATAAATAAAATTAATTTAATCCCATCCTAACTAAGGGTAAGTGGCTAAACATTCACCTAGTTCACCAAGTAATTGTACTGTGTTTGATCTTGCTTGGTATTTCACAGTTCTGGATTTTAAAGAAAGATCCATAACCCCTATGTGAATGTTACAGGATTTTCCCCATTTAGTTTAATTTGTATGCCAGGCATATTATTTTTGGTTTTGATTCCACCATTAAAAACAAGGAGTAAGTGATATTCATCATAGGCAAGAAGGATGTTACTTCCAGCGGAGCAGGGGAGAAGGAGCAGTTTAAAGGAATTCTCCCCTTTGCTGTACCCTGAGCCCTACCGAAATGAGGAGACGTTTCCCTCTTGGCTTCAGTAGTCAGGCCCCATAGGAGCAGAAGTTGGCCAATGCTGGGTACTGAAAATCCTCTCCTTTCCTTCCCTACCTAGGGATGACTGTTTTTAAAGCAGGTAATATTATATGATTTATATGTACATGCAAAAAAAAAAAAAAAGGATATATTGCAGTAAAATATTATAGTGCAACTTTTTCTTATTGTTTTTTCCCTTCTCTATTAGTGAGGAGTGAATGTTACCCTTTGATAAACCCTTTCTGGCATGAGAATGCAAACATCACTGATTCACACAGACAGCTTTTGTGTGAGTAATTTTTATATTATTTCTATATTTCCATGCACTCTTCCCTCCCTCCTTGGCCACTTACAACATCCCATTTCTGATTCAGAAGGGGAGCTCTATGAGATAGTGTTTTCACTCTGCTTTTGTACAATATCTGTCAATGCATGAGGATTTTAAGTGGGATTATTGTTGAAATAACCATCTATTTGATGTTAAGTTAAGCTAATTTCTTCCATAGGAGCAAGGTGTTTCTGCCTGGAATGGCTCAGGAAGGTACACGATTGTTAAAAGGCAAAAATGTTCAAAATCACCTCAAAAGAGTTTGATGACTGAAAATGCTTAAGCGCACATTTAAACTAATCTTTCAGTGGGATTCCTTGCAATGAAAAAAACCTTAAGTATGTGGGAATTTAAGAAAATAAATCAATGACTAAGCAGTGTTCAAAGTCTTTGAAGAACATTGTGTTCAAACCCACTACTTTAAATTTCTAACTGCGTTGGTTGGTATTTACTTATTTTTTCTTTAGATTAATTTGTCAATGTCAGAATGTTTTCAGAAAGTCCAAACTAAACGTTTTCAAATACTTTTAGGCTTCTCCTAAAAGACGATTTAGCTTCTTTGGATCATATTCTGTGCAATGCTTCTCTCACATATGCTTGTATATGGGCTTGCTTTTTTTAAATTTTTATTTACTTACCTCTCCTCTCTGACTATGGCTGTTTTCCCCTTGCAAGCAGAATATATACATTTGTCCTGTGTCTTGTAACAGTACTCTTTTCCTCAAAAACA